TAAAATTTAAAAAAGAAAATTAGTATCTCACTATGTATAGACTGACTGAAATAGAACCTTAGTTTTATAAAATCTCTGTGTTTCATGTTCATACTCAGTTTTCTGAGGTTTTGGTTGTATAATCGGTAGGGAATTGTGTTTCAGACCTAAAGGTAACATCTCCTCAATGGTTCAAATTCATCAGTTCCTCTAAGGAAGAAATATAGGCAATCTTATACTGTGCTATTTACAGCCTCTTGAAAATCCATTGGAAGGTCAGCTATGCATCATTTTCAATTCAACAGCAATAAAGATTTGAGAATATAATGAACAAAGCAGTGTCCAGAAAAAAAAAGTAACTGATGTCACGTGCTCGAGGAAACCAGCACTGAAGCTGACAGAAGAGTGAAAGCCAGAAATATGAACAAGAACAGAGAGAAAAACAAAAGGTTAGCCAGAAGAGTCATGTCCTGAGGGGACTACTGGAAGATGAGCTGTCAGTAAGGAGTGATCAATACTGTCTGACCCCAGAGAAGAAAAAATGCTGGGAAGGCCACTGATGACGAAAGCTGCCTGCTCGGCCTGGGTGGCTGGCAGGCTGCTATGAGGCTGTTATGCCACGGCTAGTTCACGCACCGGCTCCTGCCACCCGTGGTGGACAGGCTTCGGCAGAGCTTCCACATCAAGACAGACTATCAGCTCAGCTCAGACAGCTATGATTCACAGCTGACCCTCCAGTGGGTTTCAGAGGCTGCAAATCACAAGGGAAGAGACTCCCCATCTTTCTCTTTCTCCTTTGGACTAAGAGAGGCCCACCAACCTATTTCAAAAATTAGCCAACAAAAAGTTGAAAGTTCACACCACCACACTGTCTCGCATTGCTGAAAAATGAGCCCCTAGGTGAGAAAGCATTCAACGTAAAACAGTGGCCACATCAGTGCATTTGGAACATTAATGACAACTATGGTTCTAGGACCAGGAACCATCTGTTCTGTCCTACACAAGGTTAGTAAGAGCTGTAACCGACTTAGCATCAACTAACAACTAAAGGGACCCCCACCCTCCCTGAGGAAAGGAGCGAGCACGATGAGAAGGTTCAGCATGCTCAGCTGCCTGCCTCTGCAGCCTGGTCGGCTGGCCCCTGACAGAACACGAGGCCTCTGAGTGCAGGAGGCCATCTGTTCTCAAATCACACCTGAGTCTTTAATAGCGAGTCGGGCCCAACTCACAGTGACGCTCTATTGGGTTACTCACTCTGTAAATCTTGAGGAGAGGAGACTAGAGATCTTCCTCCTCGGAGTCTTTGGTAGCTTTAAACCTCTGGAGACACAGCCCCTTTGGTAAGCATTGCCCACACTACAGACTGTGTACCTCCAGAGCCCCTGAACACACACACCAGCTCTCGAACTCATTTACTGCCTTCCAGTCAGAGTGACGCAGGGCTGGCCCCGTGGGGGCTTACAGAAGCTGTATGGGAGACTGCCAAGCTTTCTCTCATGGAGCAGCCAGCAGATCTGAACTGTCACAGAGACACCACCTTTGGGTTATCAGCGCAACTCTAACACATTAGGCAGCCAGCTGTTTTGATTGTTAGGTGCCAACGAGTCAATTACGACTCAAATTGACCCTATGAGCAACAGATGTGGAAACTAGGCCACCAGAATTCTCTTAATATACATATGGACACTCACATTCACTAAGATCTTTTGTTCTTTAGAAAAAAATAAGGTACTTGTCACAGGATTAGTTCAACATTATATTTATGGAAACCATTCCATCAAACAGAATGCTGAGAGAAAAATATGGTAAATATTTAATGATAGCCCAAGGCTCTTAGCAACTATAATGAAAATAACTTATTTTCAAGAAGGTTATTCTTTGTTACAGAAAACCGTTATCAAAGTCTAGAATAATACACCTACCAAACAACAACAACAAAAATGAATTCTCCCACTGAGTGCCTCACAGAACCAAGTCTCATTGTCACCTAGCACAAATAAAACATTCCAAGGAAACACACAGTTTGTCCACAGTAATGACCAGCAGCACTCCAGGAGGTGGGTGGCTCCGCAGGTGAGCCTGCTTACATGGCCATGTAAGGCTAGCATTCCTAGAGCTCTTCCCTCTCTCATTCCCAGTGCTCCCGGAAGACATTTCTCTGAACTGCTTTCTCCTAAGAGCTCTGTCTCACAGAAAATGAGCAGGCATGTGCTCAGAGCGCAGGATTCTAAGACCAACAACGTCTCTCCAGTCACCCTCCCATGCATATCCTCAGAACCTCTCCTCACTTCACTCCATCAATCTTTGTGCTTTCTGCATGTTGAGCCCTGGAAGGGCGGCTGAAATGAGCTGCATTTGTGAAGCACATGCTTGCAAGCCCCCTCCACATCACACCTCACACCTTGAGTCAGGAATGATTGGGGCCACCCCTACTCTACAGGGGTAAATATCCCAACTTCACAGCCTGTGGGCTGCCGATCTTCAGTCATGTGCCTAAGTAGCAAGCACAGAGTAGCCAAACTGAGCTCTGAATCCAGACACATGCAGGCTCCCTGCTTCCTCTGAAATGGTTGAGGACATGTCAACAGGTTATTGTGTGAGCATGGACATGTGTCAGCACAGGGCTACACTGAGCCTGAGAGAATGTGCTAAAACCAAAGAAAGGTGGAAGGCAGCAGGATTGTAGGTTGAGGGCAGGAATGGGCTGGACACCTGAGAGGGGCGCACGTGGGGCCAGGACAGCATTCTGTCCTCCTTTTTGTCCCCACCATTTGTGGGTCCAGCCCTGATAGCATGTCCCACCCAGCTGCAGCAGATGTACATGATGTTCACGGCATACAGCAGGGAGCCTCAATCTGGAGGTCTTTCATATCAGAAAGGGTGCTTGCAGGAAGTTGCTTCACTTGACCATACTGCTGCACACGGCACAGGGATTTCTGATGAGCGATGGTGACAGCGTGCCCTTTGCCACAGGCGGCTTTGCAGCCACTTCACGGTGATGCTAGAAGATGAGGCCTCCCGGCAAGGGAGCAGCTAAGCCCTCTCCCCCATCAGGCCACTGTTGCAGAGATGGAGATGGATGCTTTGTCTCTCATAGTGCTATTCTCCGTGGGGTCCCATTTCTCTACTCACACAAGCTTTGGGCTGCTTTTCTAAAAGAAAATCAAAGGAACAAACAGCCTCCTAGATTCAGAGAAGAGGGAGAGACCTTCAGTGCCAGCCTGCCCAGTGCTGAGCCAGGCCACACTCAGCACAGGCCAGTGGCAAGCACTCTTGACAGTGGGCACCACTGGCAGGAGGCACCTCCAGCAGTGGGCAGTTCAGAGTTGGCAGCTGAGATCCCACATGCGTCCTCAGGAAGCCGCAGCTGGGCGGAGCCTAGGCAGACAGGGCAAGGCAAGGACTGCAGCTTAAAAGGCACTTGCATAAGGTTTCTGTGAGGATCATCAGGTATGGAAAAGGCAGAAGAAAGTCAGTCTGTATCATATCCCAAAATGGGTCCCAGCCACTTCTCAACCTCAGCCACGGACATGCTCTTCCTCATTGCGTAATCCTCAACCTGCAGGAGAAGAGAAGCAGCTCATTAGATCCAAGCAAGAAGGATGTGGTTTCTGTTTCTCTGACTGGTTTCCATTCAGTTGTTCATACACCTTCTGCTTTAAATCATGAACTAAAACTGGTTAATGAACTACTGATGGTCTCTCATCAGATCCCCACTGTACACTGCTTTCCCTTCACCCAACCTACTTATAATCTTAGCTCTCCTTTTTGTGCTTAAGACTTTTGAACACAAGTTTCTATAGGATTTGCCAATAAACATTAAGTGAGTTTCAGGTCCTGTCTAAATAGCCATGTACAAAGTGGACGCCAAGGCTTTTCCATCATCAAGTCGTCTGATTCTCTGAGCAAAGCAGCAGCATGCAGTGAACAGCAGATGCTTACAAGTAGACTGGGGTGCATGTGACGCTTAAGTGCCACAGGGGAGCATTATGGCAAGCACAAAGGATCAAAATCAAATTAAGATTTAAACAGATGAAGTTCTGTAACTGCTCTGCTTCTCGTTTTATTATTATACACAGTTAAAACAAAATAGGTTCTAGAGTTTGCCTGAAAACAAGGCAGGGACCTAACTCACCTGATCCTTGGAAATTTTTCCCACAGCAAAGTATCTGGACTTGGGGTTGGAGAAGTAGAGGCCCGAGACAGCAGAGGCAGGCACCATGGCCAGCGATTCTGTTAGCCTGATGCCTAGGAAGAGAGATGGGGACAGTACTGTCTTCCCACGGAGCCCAGCCATCGCAGCGGCTCCTAAACACTTGTGGATCGAGAGCATGAAATGAGCTACAGCTATACAGGCCAACACACGGGAAAGCTGAGCTCAGCTCCCTGGAAGGGGAGGACCAAGTTCAGGGCTTGCAGCTCCCTAAGCCCAGGGGCAGGGCCTGGAAAAGGCATTTGTTCCCTTATCCCCTATCATTCACAATCAAGGACAGAGGCCTCAGCTGGGTTATATGGCTCCATTTGCTCCTCCCACGAGCTCTGATGCTGTAAACAAGAGTGCTACCAGCCAATGATATCAGGAATGACCGCAAAAATAATCAGAAAGAAAAGAGACATTAGGATTTTAGCATACAAAGGGACCACTAAGACTATCTATTCCAAGCCATTCATTTTACGGACAAAGTCTCTAAGCAAACCTGAGGTAGAAATGGCACTGGAACACCGTTCTCACGCTCAATCCTACTCCAGCTGGCTTCTCAGTTCCTCACTAAGCCTATGCTCTTTCATCTGCTCTAGACTGGACTGCATGCTCTGACTGGACACTTGAACACTGTATCCTGCGGGGTTTCTGTGAGCTGGAAGTGATGACAGTGGCTCTTGGATTATTCCAAGAGTGGTGGTCTTGTAATGAAAACTCATTTGCTTTCAATTTTGCGAAACCAAAATTGAAGAGACCAAGGCACTCTAAAGAGGAAAGCTGTTGACATCATAGTAACCATTACTTTATCAGACTTCTGAAAGAGATTTAGCCTGCCCTCATTCATGTTACAGGTTTACTGTGATTTAGGCTTCAGATTGTAAAAGGTTCTTTGCTACCAGTAAATCTCAAAAGGATGTGGAACTCATGAACGGAGATCCTATTAGACAACATTCTTGTTAGTTAAGTGATAAATACTTTATTCTTATCATTCACACTTCTTCAGGCATCTTTCAAGGTTCAGAAAAAGAATTGTGGGGTGCTATGGTTTTTTTGCATTTCTAACCAAGCAAACAGTACAAATCTGGTCATTATTTGAGAATGGAGGAAAACAAGTTTTTCTGTTCCTTTTTCTATCTGCGGAAATTGACTAAGGTGTGGTGGTAAAGAACTATGTCTTTTCACCCTGATGACCCTCACTTCAAGACAGAACAAGTGAAGAGGACCTCATTAATGCTGAGTTTTGGTTGTTTTACTTTTTTAAAAAAAAATTGAAGTGAAAAATTCTACTTTTAATTAAGTTTTTTAAAAATATATATAATGACACTATTCTCCAAATACTCGAGACCAAACTGTGGCAATTACCTCTCAATATGGCTTTTCTGGTGTAAGTGACTGAATATGGAGGAGCAGGTCTGGGCGAGTGGAGGAGCAGGTCTGGGCGAGTGCAACGTGTTGGCCTACCCATGAGGGGACTGACCGATCTCAACAACCGACATGACAATTTTTATAGATTGTTACCAATAAATTTAAGAATTCAAGTTGCAGAAAATTCTTCCCCCAGCCAGGGAAGAGAGACCTCCCCTAATCCAATGAAATGTAGGACAGACACACTTTTTTGGGACAGCAGCAGCAATGATGGCTGAACTGGAGAACTGACGTGAGATAGGACTTTGGTGGGGGAAGTTTACTGTAGCAGGGCTGAGAACTTTGTTGGACAAGTGGGGAGGCAGCCTATATTGGCAGGACCGAGAACCTGGGAACACTCAGAGCCACAAGGCTGGAGGCTCAGGTGCCTGCATGCACATTCTGGGAGCTGTCTTAATTGTACTGTTGTTAATCTGAATTAGATCCTTTTTACTCTCCACCACCACCACCACTACCACCACCAAAACACCCATAATGCGCCAAGGTGCCAACAGCAGGCTGCTCAGGCTGTAGTGGCACTGAGGCCTCCAAAGGTACAGGCCAATGTCTGACATTCAGTACTATGAGTCAACCTGCAGACAAATGCATCACTGTGAGGGAGGTGGTAATGGCCAGACGTGACCACAAAGGACCTGCTGATATAACTTTTATTCAAATCTATTTAGTCTCCTGCCAAATTACAGTCATGAAAACTGCGGGACAGTCACTGAGTTGGTGCTCACTGAACTACAGTGAGAGAAGAATCAGCTGTTCAGTTTGTGGACTGTGAACTATTTGCACACTGTGTGGACAGGAAGCCCTTCCCCCCCGGGGTGGGTACCTGTGCAGCCCTCTATGTCAGCCATTCTCCACATGGTGAGCTTCTCTGTGTGGTCGGGCTGGCTGGGGTAGCCAGGGGCTGGCCGGATACCCTCATAGCGCAGCCTCCGCAGGCCCGTCATGTCTAGCTGCTCGCTGCCACAGTAGGCCCACAGCTCCTTGCGGACCCTCTCATGGAGTTCCTCTGCAAAGGCCTGGGGACCCAAGGTGTCAATGATGTGAGGCAGAGGGGAAGCCCACAGCACCCAACATTTCCAGCCTCAACACTCAACTCAGCACCCTCCCCTCCTCCACCTCAATTTTCATGAGGACCTCAGCATCCATCCTCCTCCACCTCAACTCTCATCTGGACCACAGCACTCATCCTCCTCTATCGCAGCCCTTATCTGGAACACAGCATCAATCCTCCTCCACCCTCCACCTCAATCTTCATCTGGACTTCAGCATCCATCCTCCTCCACCTCAACCCTCATCTGGACCACAGCATTCATCTTCATCTGGACCACAGCATCCATCCTCCACAACCCTCCACCTCAACCCTCTTCTGGACTACAGCATCCATCCCCTCCACCTCAACTTTCATCCAGACCACAGCACTCATCCTCCTCTAACCCAACCCTCATCTACACCACAGCACCCATCCTCCTCCACCTCAACCTTCATCTCAATGACAGCACCCATCCTCCTCCACCTCAACCTTCATCAAGACTTCAGCATCCATCCTCTTCCACCTCAATCCTCATCTGAACCACAGCTGGGAAAGTCTGACAAGGGAGGAGCCCACAGCATTCTCAGTTCTGCTGCACCTTTCTTAACTGCTTGTTCCTCAGAGCTGGCCTCACCTGAACTCTGAAGTATCACATTTACTGATCTGAAGGTCTGAGGCCTCTTAGTGTAAGAATTTCCCTATCACTCTACAGCCTATGCAGACCATGAAGAGAAGGAACCTTTACAAGTGAGCATCCCCAGGGGAGCTCTGGTGGCCTAGTGGCAAGAAGCTGCACTGCAATCCCAGAGGAACACGGTTCGAATCCACCAGATGCTCTGCCAGAGAAGGAGGCGCAATATCCTCCTGTACCAGTCAGATCTGATTTGCCGGTACACGCACACAAAATAATAAAATTTTAAAAAAAAACAAGTGAGCATCCCCACTGTTACCCTCAGGAAGGGGGAGGTCACGCCCATGGCGCAGGGTGCCCTTCTCATGCACAATGGAACAGGTATGCCATGGGCTCATGCCATAGAACAGCGATTTTATGCAGCAATGTGAGAATGAGGGTCATGGGACATAAATCTGGTTTTGGTTTTTCAGGTTCTCTGGGAAAATGCCCATCATAACTAAATAGAAGTATCAGAAATAAGGCAGAGAGGCCAGGATCCTACAGTGATAGGGACCACGGCACTGCTGAGGGGTTTTCTTCACCCAGAACCTGTGTAATACCCTAGGTCTGTGCTGTTACAGCAGCAGCACCTGACTGAAATCCCACTGCCAAGGGGCACAGTGCTAAGGGCTGGGGAGCTGGTGTCCCCTGTGGATGCCCATATCACCCCCGGACACCACAGCGCTGGGCCGAGATGTGCAGGCTGCTCTACCTCTGCCAGCCGGTCCCCCAACGCCTTGACCATGATGCTGCTGTAGTCGTCACACTCGGCCTCGTAGGCCTTGCTCAGCTCCTCAACTCCGAAGCAGGCGACAGCAAATAGGCCCAGGTAGTCCTGGACGCCAGAGCCCAGGGGCGCGATGAAGTCTGAGAGGCAGAGGTGTGGGTCTGCACTCACTGAATCCTTCTCAGCCTGAAAGACAAGCAGCGGGCAGAGAATGGAGTCAGCTGGGTGGGCACTAACACATACAGGCACCTCCAGCTCTAAGCAAAGGCAGGATTCCCACCCTGGGCATGGGCCCTTCTCTTCACTGTGACACCGAGGACTGCGCACAGTGCCCGATCCACTCCAAGGAGTAAACATAAAAAATAAAAACTCAAAACACAAACCCACTGCCCACAGTCAGAACTGACTCATAGCTGACCCTCCAGATTTTCTGAGGCTGTAAATCGCTTCACAGGACATCATCCACCTTTCTCCTATGAAGCCCCTGGTGAATTTGAACCTCAAAGAGGTTCTGCCTTTAGGTTAGCTCTGAGAAAATGAAATGACATTTTAAAGATATAACATAAAAAGTCACAGCCAGGAAGTTGTTACTAGGCTCATTTGCACATGAGTCAAAAACCTCCTGGACGACTACAGGCACTGATGAACCCTCAGAGTTAGACCCACAGTGACCCGGTGAACAACAGATCTGAACCCTGGCCTATCCTGTGCCATCATCACCATCTCTGACACACCTGATCCCATTGCTGCAGTCACTGTCAATCCACTTGGTTGAAGGTCTTCCTCTCTTTTGCTGTCCTTCCACCTTTCCACGCATGATGTCCCTCTCCAAGGAACAGCTTCTCCTAACAACATACCCAAAATACGTGAGATGAAGCTTCACCATTATTGCCTCCAAGAAGCACTGTGGCTGCACTATTTCCAAGACCTATCTGTTTGTTCTTTTGACAATCCACGGGATGTTCCTTACTCTGCTCCAACACCACAGTTCAAAGACATCAATTCTTCTTCTGTCATTCTTATTGACAGTCCAGCTCTCAGACACATAGCAAGAGACTGAAAAGACCACGGACTGAAACAGGAGCACCCTAGTCCTCAAACTGACATCATTGCTCCTCAATAATCTAGAGGTGCCCCTGATTACACACTTTCCCAGTATAACATATCTCCTGACTTCCTAACTGCTGGTACCAAGTGTATTGACTGTGGATCCAAGTAAGATGAAATTGTTGACAGTTTGAATCTTTTCTCCATCCATCATGATAATCAGCTATAGTTCGGTTCCAGTTCAACAGCACGTGACACTACGACAGAAGAAACGCCCATGGTCTTAAGCCATCCTCACCATCGCTGCTGTTTAGACCCACTGTTAACAGCCACTGTATCAATTCCTCTTGTTGGCATCTTCCTCTGTTTCTCTGAATCTCCACTTTACCAAACACCATAGCAACATGCAAAAGCCTCTGTTCAACAATCCACAGGGACAAGTCAACAAACTCTTGGGTTGGTGGGGATGTCAAGGGCTGAAGTGACCTCATCCCCCACGCAATGTGTGTGTCAGTGGGGCCAGCCGTGACTTCTCTGGTTTGGCAGCTGTTATCACGCAGCAATGTGACCACCCCCGTGAGCCAGTAACACTATCACAGCCCTGACTCACTCAAAGAGTTTCCCGGACATGGAACCTACAGTAACTTATAAAAGGAGAGAGACGTGGTACACGGAGCCCTCCAAGGACCCAGCAGATGCCACCAGAAGACAAGAGAGCCTCCTCCCTAAACTGTGGGCCAACCGTCAAAGAAGCTGTGCTCTGAAGCAAGCACCCAAATTTGGATTTCTAGTCCCAGCTCGGAATGACAAAGCAAAATATTACAATGAAATGTGCAAGGAGCTAGAGACGGAAAATCAAATGGCTGAACTCGCTCAGCATTTCTTAAGATCAAGGAACTGAAGAACAAATTCAAACCTGGAGTTGCTATAATCAAGGATGCTTTGGGCAGAATATTAAATGATCCAGGACGTATTAAAAGAAGATGGAAGGAATATACTGAGTATAGAAAGGAATTGGCAGATACAGAAGAATTTAATGAAATAACATATGAGCAAGAGCCTATGGTGATGAAGGAAGAAGTTCAAGCTGCTTTGAAGGAAATAGCAAATAATAAGGCCCCAGGAATAGATGGTATACCAATTGAACTATTTCAGCTAACAGATGTTGCCCTGGATGTGCTCACCAAGTTGTGCCAAGAAATCTGGAGAACAACCACTTGGCCAATTGACTGGAAGAGATCTATATTTGTTCCCATTCCAAACAAGGGTGACCCAACTGAATGTGGAAACTACAGAACAGTATCATTGATTTCACATGCAAGCAAGATTCTACTGAAGATTATCCAAAAACGACTAGAACAGCACATCAGCAGAGAATTGCCAGAAGTCCAGGCTGGGTTTAGAAGGGGTCGTGGTACTAGGGATATTGTTGCTGATGTTAGATGGATCTTGGCTGAAAGCAGGGAATACAGAAAAATGTCTATCTGTGTTTCATTGATTATGCAAAGGCATTTGACTGTGTGGATCATAACAAACTGTGGCTGACTTTGAGAAGAATGGGAATCCCAGAACATTTAATTGTGCTAATGCAAAACCTATACTTGGACCAAGAGGCAGTAGTCAGAACAGAGCAGGGTAACACTGCATGGTTCAAAATTGGGAAGGGTGTACGCCAGGGATGCGTCCTGTATCCATACGTTTTCAACATGCATGCAGAGCAGATTATCCGGGAGGCTGGGCTCTATGAGGAGAATTGTGGCATCAGGATTGGTGGAAGATCTATTAACAATCTGCGTTATGCAGATAACAAAACCCTGCTTGCTGAAACTGAGGAGGACCTCATGCACTTGCTGCAGAGGGTCAAGGACTGCAGCCTTCAGTATGGACTGAGGCTCAATGTCAAGAAGACAAAGATTCTCACCACTGGACCAATTGGCAGCATCAGGATGGATGGCAAAGAGATTAAGATTGTTCACAGCTTCAGTTTGCTCGGCTCCACGGTCAACACTCTTGGCACCAGCAGTCAGGAAATCAAAAAGCGTATCATGATGGGAAAGTCTGATGTTAGAGACCTCTCTAAAGTACTCAAGAGCAACGGTGTCTCTCTGGAGACTAAGGTCCACCTGATACAGGCCACGTTCTTTGCAATCGCTTGTTATGCATCAGAGAGTTGGACAATGACTAGGGAGGACAGAAGGAGAATGGATGCCTTTGAGCTGTGGTGCTGGAGAAGAGTACTGAATGTACCATGCACTGCCAAGAAAACAAACAGATTCATCCTGGAGAGGATTAAACCAAGCAACTCCTTGGAGGCAAGGATTCTGGGGCTTCGTCTGACATACTTTGGATATGTTGCCAGGAGGGACGGGTCCTTGGAGAGGGACACCATGTTTGGGAGGGTGGAGGGACGGCGCAGGAGGGGAAGACCCTCTATGCGATGGATTGATTAGGTGACTGGGGTAATCGGGATGGCTGTGTCAGAGGTAGTGCGGTTGGCACAGGATAGAGCAGGCTTTAGGGCTGTTGTGCACAGGGTCGCTATGAGTCACAAACGACTCGACGGCACATAACAACAACAACAACAAATAGTGAGAGAACAAACTTGTTTGTTAAAGTGATTCTTCCTGTGGTATTTCTGCTACTTTGTTGCTGTAGTGTGGCGTCAAGTAGGAACTGACCCACAGCTGACCCTCCAGCAGGTTTTCAGAGACAGTAAATCACAGGAGAGGATCCTTCTGTGCGGAGCAGCTGGTGGATTCGAACCACATGCATCTTAGATTGCACCACAGCTTCTTACCACTAGGCCCTAGAGCTTTTTATTTCTGTTGTAGCCACAGCAGATAAATGAGACAAATACAGGCCTGCTAATCATTGGGGACGGGGTGTGGGGGGAGTACAAGATGTGGTCACAGGAACCAAATTCCATCCTAGCTGTATTTGCCCAACGGGCTCCCTCTATAGGGCCAGGCACATTCCTCATCCATCTCCATCACACCTGGAAGCTGATACTTCTTTGCTGTAGAGCTAATATATACAGAGCCAACTGACAACCAAGGTTTCACACAACCACACAAACAAGCACATGCTAAGAAGGCAGACAGCTGCTCACTGTACTTACTGAGGCCTGCTATGCACCAGGTGCTGCTGTAAGTGAAATAACCGAATCCCTGTGACCACCTTGTGACCCTGTCCGCTCCAACACATAAGCACCTAGTGGCTACAGAGAGCTCGACGGCAAGTTCCGGGTCAGCGGCCCAGAGGTGACCCCACAGCCGACATTCCTTACAATCTCTCGGTCAGAGCGGCTGAAGCTGGAGCTAGATAGCCTGGCCAACAATGAGGAGAAGTGGTTAAGGCTGCAGGTAGGAGGATCATGGTGCAGGATCAGGGACAAAGGGGCATGGTGGGACCATGTCCAGCTGGGCTCTGCCCATCCACAGTCCTTTGCTAACAAAAGCTGGAGAAGGAACACAGAAGCGCCCACACTATGAAGAGACGGATTGCAGATCTAGAGCTCTTTGGAAAGGCAGAGATCAGAGCCCTTGCAGAGACCCTGAGGACTCCTCTGTCACATGCCCTTCAGAGCACACTGTGAGCTGGCCCTAGACATGTGGGCTGTACATAAAGAAATCAAAGGAAGACACAGGCCTTGAATGTTCAAAGACTAGGCAAGAGCTTTCTACCTCACTTATCCCGGCAGAAGAAAGTCATGGGTCCCTGGTCAGGAGGGCAGGACTCAGTACCAGGACTACCTGGTGGGCTGTCTGAGCTGTGAGAACCAGCAGCGACAAAGTGGGCCTCATTAGCTCTATGGTGATCGTTCGCAGGTCTAAGACTCTGGGCCGGTCCTGTTTTGGTTAAATATCGAGATCAGAGGAGGACTGAGGACTCGGCCCTAAAGGGGGAACCCATATAGCAGCACCCAAGAGATTCAGGCGGCCAGAGGCACCAAGAATAGTGCTGCTGTGACTTTAACAATCACTGAGAGGGATAGTAAAACTGCCTAAACTGTTTCTTATAGCCCTGAACACAAGGACTTGGAGGAGTTCAGATTCCAGTTCATAGGGAAGGGAGCTGTGTGTGTGTGTTCCCTCCATCAACCACCTCTTCTCTGCACAACCACACTGCCTGACCGAGGACTGTGAGAAGGATGTGAAGCAGAGTATCAGGGCCCTCAGCCATAGAGAGCTGTGCTGCTGCCCCAAAGCAAGACCCCTCTCACAGTTCAAATCTCCAACAACTTGGGAGACTGATGGGCAATCTGCCCTGTGTGATATACAGTCTGAAAACCCGCTGGAGGGTCAGCTAGGAGTCCATTCAGACTTGACAGCATTTAACAAAAACAATTACTGTTATTTCCGTTTTGATGAAGCAACATGTGCAAGTGCCGTGGACTGTACCTGCTGCCGGAGCCCATAGAAGGTGGCCATGGGCTCTGCGGCTGGGGACCCCACGTCTTTGGCGTACACGTGGATGTCATCCTGGACGCTCTGTGCGGGCCAGAACCCCACCACACCTCTGGCCTGGAGCTTCCGCTGACTGATGAGGGCTTCCAGCATACTCTGGGCATCATTGTAGACTTTCTTAGCCTCTTCCCCTGTTAGGAAAACATCCTAGAATTACTCAATGATGCCAGTATCAGACAGCAAAGCAGGTATTTCAGGATCACTACCCGCGGTGGCGTTCTCTCTCTACCCCAGATACCCCCACACTCCCTGGGTACCCATCACGAGTGAGCACTCAGGAGCCAGACCAGATCACCTTAGCCCCTATGCCTGGGCACACGGCACTTACACCCTCCATTTAGGCACGGCAGCCTGCAGTCACAGGTTAGTTCCTGTGTTGGCCCTCATGCACACTCAGCCCCAACAACCACGCTGTAACCTTGAGCACAGCCAACAGGCCAGGGAGTGACCGGGACCCCAAACCCTCTGCAGCAGGCTCAGCAGCACTGCCACATGGCCTCAGAGCCAAGGACGCCAGGGAGGTTCCACTGCACCAAGGACAGGGGGAGGTCTTCTGCTCCTGTACCAGGGCATGGCCATCCGCTGTCAACACAGCATCAGCAAGCTGACCAGAAGCCCTGCCTGGGCTGGTCACCGCACACCAGAACCCCTTCTAGTGCTGCACTCGAGAGAGGCTGGACTTTGCCTTCAGCATCCTGCAGGTGCACCGAGAGCCTCCAGAAATCATGAAAGCTCTGGCTAGTAGTCCCACTACCACTTGCCCTCACAGGCTGCTGCTTAGCCTCTGAACGGGCCAACTCCCAATCCCTAGGCCCCAGGAGGTGGTGGGGACTGGGCTGGACCTTCTGTAACTCTCGGGACTATCACAAGTGTAGTTGCATCCTCTTATACCATTCAACAATTAGCATTTGCACACTCACCTCTAGCTTCCCTCCACAATCACCCAGACTCCACCAAGGCTCAAGCAACAACACAATCCTGTGGTCCCTGAAGGGCCCGTTCCAGGGCTATCTCACCCGTCTCCTCTTCCTAGAAGATGGTCTTCCTCCACCTCACCATGTCCTGAGTCCCAGGCTCAGTAACTGCCATTTCACCTTCACCACCTCCCCCACGAAGCCCTCTCAGACTGTCCTGTCTGACATCTGTCTCCCCTTGCTGCTTTACCAGAAGCTGTGTCAGTTCAACAGCCTCGACACTGCTTGCCAGCTCACCAGCGGCTGGAAAAAAAAGACCAGGTGTTTTTTTTAGTTCAAGTAGCCAGCATGTTGACTGATGTCAATCAACATCAATGAAACGAAAGAATAAACACAATGCCAGGCTGAGTCCTTCAAGTCTATCAGCCAGGAACGAGCAGGTAAGCAGGCAGCTGACCCTACGTGACTAGTACCTGGCACTATTACCTGTTCTCGTGTCAAAGTCCCAATGGCACTGCTGAGCACTTCTTCCTGAAGATGGTGGGAAGGACAGACAGTGGTGGGATGGAAGGGAGGATGGTAGGAAAGAAGGGAGACTGTAAGAAGGAAGGGTGGACAGATGGAGTGAAGGAAGGCAGACAGTGGGAAGAAGAATGTACTTAGGGAACGAACCTACTGTCTTGTCGTTAAATATCTTGGGGAAGCTGCGGTTGGGGTATTTTCCCCGGAGCTGCCAGACATCGAAGAAAGGTTTCCAGTCGATGTAGCCCACCAGCTTCTGCAGGTCATAGTCTTCGAATACCCTTGTCCCTATAAACGAGGGCTTCACTGCAGGAAGGAAACGCAGGCTGTAAGCAGTCCCCAGGGCCTGGTGGGGGACAATGTCTATCCAACATTGCCCATCATGTGCCCTGCCCATAATCTGCACTGCCTTCACCGTACTCTGCCCTCCAAACACTGGCCACCATATGCATTTCCTCCACCACACCCTGTCCGCCATGCACTGCCGCCACCATAGTCTGCCCACTACATGCACTGCTCCAATCACGCCCTGCCTGTCATTAGCACTGTCCTTACCATACCCTGCCCACTACGCACACTGCCCACCACCACTACTAGTACAGATCCCACCATGCCGTTCACCAGGCACACTGCCCACCAGAGGCCCCCCCCAGCTCCCAAGCTGCTATGTGATGCCCACACCCCACTGCATTCCTGTTACTTGGAGGAACTGTTTCACAAAAAGCCAAGCTTTCAATCCTCCCCAAGAAAGAGGAGCTGAGTATCACATCTCACATAAAATGACTCATCCTGAGTAGCCTTGGACGCACTTGCCTCGGTCCTCTTACCCTCAAGCCCCCTCCCAGGAGAGGTCTGTCCACCTGGACTTGGATAAGTAAGTCAAAGGGTGATGCACCAAATCATTCACGGAACACTGCAGAAACCAGAGCAGTCCTCTCTGCCTGCCCCCACAAGAGCTTCAAGTCGGAGGAAACACATGAAAAAGCATCCTCCCTCTCAGGACTGCAGTTCTCTAGGCAGGAGCAGGAGAGAGGACAAGGAATAGGGAGCCACACAAGGGATCTCCCAAGATGGGCACTTCCGGCCAACCTGTGGGCTGCCTAGTGGGCACGCAGGATGTCAGCATGCTGTTCTTGACAATTCTTTAGGGGTTGAAAACACATCTTTTTAGAAAACAGTAAAGGCATCAGAGACAGTGCTGCTGGGCCTGGGACAGGTTAGGGGCTGCTGTTGCTGCCTGCCCATTCCTGGGCTCTCAGCAGCCTGGTCTGGGAAGCAACCATGGGTGTTTCGGGATACAACACTAGTCTGGAGAGTATGTTTCCTGCACTGGTGACAAAATCAGAAGTGAGCATCAGAGATTGAAGCATGCACAGTTTATGGATTTCACCTGAAGTTCTCTCCTCCTTTCACAGCTAATATTTACAATTGGTTCTCTGCCATCTTTTTATACCATTCCTTTTCTTCCACTACGTTGATTTGCGTAAAGATGGTAGAGTAAAAGCCCAGCTATTGGTGGTTCAGCTTATTCCCACCTGCAGAGGTGAGAGCAACACCTGCTTCACAGACACTGGAGCACTCCATCCAGGGGCAAATTCTCTGCCCGAGCCAAAGGTCCATGTGAGGTCTGACCACCAGAAACCTGGAGAGAGGAGTCCTGCTTTCCCCCGTATTGGCTTCCTCCAGCCACCTGAGGCTGGAACATCCTCAAAAACATCACTGAGGCACAGAGGCTCTCGATGAACTCAAACGAGGGTCAAAGAGGCTACAGCAGAAATCATACCTTTGCTGCCCAATTTCAGCCACTTGCCATGCAGGCAAACTCCAATGACATCCCTGAACTACTACTGCAAGTCCACGGAGCAGGGTCAAGAATAATGGTTTGGGATCATGTAGCAATCAGAGGCCTCTGGTGGCATGGTCTGTAAGGAACTAAGCTGCTGACCCAAAGGCAGGTGGTTCAAATCCACCAGAGGCTTTGCTGGAAAATGACTATCAATCTCCTCCTGGGCGATTTATAGCGTCTGAAAATCTGCTGGATGGTCAGCTATGAGTCAGTTTCAACAAATAAGTTTGAATTTTTGATACAGTGATTTGTGTTTTCCAAAGGTTTCACATAATATACAATCTCATACTATTTTTATAAAGCAACTTCTTCTTCATATATTGACCACTCAGACACAGGAGCGAGAGGGGTCATCTCTCAGTAATAAAGGCAGGAATAGAACCCAGGCTTCTCCACTACAGTCCAGCGTTCCTTCCACTACACCACACTGAACTCAGCAGAAACATCAGCACTGAGAACACTGGCCTTTTCGAGTTCTGCCCGCCTCGCCACTGAGCGTGTGCAGAGCACAATGTCTTAGGCAACGAGTGCTGAGCACTTTGGAAACCTGCAGTCAGTGACCCAAACGCATTCAACCTATCTCAGATCGGTATTCAGACTGCACCCCTCCCAGAGCCCATGACCACCTGCAAAAAGCAGGAAAATACTTAGAAGTTTCCACAAAATGAAAGAAATTTAAAAGAGGCCAGCATCCAGAGAGATTGGGTGGGGGTAGAGAATTTAAGAGGATCCTGCCTTGCTCGACTGTTCTAAAGCCTATTAAATGTAAACACATGTTCAGTCCTGGAAATATCAGGCCTATTTCATGATAGATGGAAAAAGGATTGAAGTTATTAATGATTTGTTTTGCTCAGATCCACAATCAATACCCTTGGCAACAGCAGTCAATAAATCTAAAGAGGAGAGTAACAATGTGAGTGTAGAGACTAAGGTGTGCCTGATCCATACCACAGTCTTCACAATTACTTGCTATGCTTCAGAGAGCTGAACAATGGCTAAGGATGACAGAAGAATTGATGCCTTGGAGTTGTGGTGCTAGAGAAGAGACTTGAACATTCAATGGACTGCCAAGAAAACAAATTGGTCTGTCCTGGAGAGGGTGGAACCAGTTTGCTCCTTAGAGGCAAGGATTTTGAAACTCTGTCTCACATACTTTGGGCATGATGCCAGGAGAGATCAGATCTTAGAGAGGGACATCATGCTTGGAAGGATGGAAGATAAGCATAGGAGAGGAAGACCATGGAGGAGATGGATTGACTCAGTGATACTGGCAATGGGATCAGGTGTGTCTGAAACAATGACGTTGGCTCAGGATATGGCAAGGTTCAGAGCCATTGTTTATAGGGTCCTGTGTTGTATGAAGTAACCTAGGTTTGCTGTGATGCTGAACCTTTTGCCACTGGGGTATCAAATACCGAATAGTTTCCCATTATGGACAGTGTTTGGTGGAGCTCCCAGCTGTAAAAGGTTTTGAAGCAGGAATGGCATCCACTTCCTAAAACACATGCCTCTGGAAACTCTATGAACTTGGAGAAACAACAATAATTATGGAAAGGCATTAGGTCTTTTGTTCATACAGTCACTACTAAGAGTCATGCCTGACTTGATGGCAATCAACAACAACGAGTCTTAGTAGATTTGACAACACTTCACAACACCCACGCCGAGCCCAGGGAAGACCATGGTCACCTCAGTCACAGCAGCCCACAGGTGCGGCAGGGGTGGGGGAGGTGCCCTCACAGGCTGAAGATGCTCCACTCCAGTAGAGCGCAAAGGAACAAGTGTGGATTTGAGCAGGCAGATCAGAGACTAGAATACTAGTAAACTTACTAGAATACTAGTAAACTTACTAGTTTACTAGAATACTAGTAAACTTAAAGTCATCAGAACTTCCCAAACCTGGGGCTATGGGGGGGTCAGCACCCACATTCATTAACTAGATGTCTCAAGAACAAAGAGAGCCAACGAAGGTGAAGCTTGGTCATGTGGGCCTAAGCTGAGCTCTCCCACTGTGACGTGTGTGATGTATTCTGCATCACCATGGTCACCATCCTTCAGCCCCGAGGACACCAGCTTGACTCTGTAGCGAGTGAGCATGCCTCTCCTTGGTTCTCCCACACAGCCCTGCTCTACCCGGCAGCCAAACACACCTGGGCGAGGCTCAACCAGCCAGTCAAGGTGGAGAGCGTTCTTCCTGGCTTGACTTAAACCTAAGTATCTTCTGTCCTATTTCAAATAGAGAGAGAAGCAAAGTTAATTAGGCAGAGTCTGTGAGTTCTCCAGCTATTACTATGAAAAGTATGTTCAAGAAAGCCAGTACAGAAACTTTGCAAGGAAATATATGCCTTTACTGATGAAATCAGTATCTGCACTAGTGCTCCCTTTCCTTACACTGGGCTTCATGGCAGCACTAGGTTCAAATAAAAATAAAAAGGTACAAAACCACTCAGTCACAACTAACTGACAAGCCTGAGACTGACTGGTAAGAAGTCACAGGACAATGGGTGGGTTACCTAACCCTCTAGGACCACAAGGCAGATCTAAGGCACCATCAATCACAGACAGTGCAAAGGATCGGGGTGGGGGAACCAACCAAAAGCCTGTTTTCTTTGATGCTATTTCTGATCTCACGTCTCTGACAATTACCTAGCATGTGTCTGCTCCCAAAAGCCCAGCAGGCAGATAAGTCAGAAGAACATGCCCAGTTACTTCTAAGCAGTGATGAAGGCACTCTTGATGGACTCCCTGGGCTCACCCAGAGAGGGACAGCTCCTGAATGGGACTTCTGCAGTTGGCACTGGGCAGTGCATGGAGAAAAGCTTACAGGGTTTTGTCTAATGTGTTCATTTGCTTCCCATTATTCCTTCAAGAACCAGGGCCCGCTGGGAGCCATTCCTGCCCATTGCTGTATGCTTATGAGGCAGAACTGACTCATAGCTGAACCTCTAGTAGGTTTTCAGGGGCAGTTAATTGCACAGGAGACTGCCCGTCCTTTTCACACAGCAGCTGGTAGATTCAAACTACGTGTCTTTGTGGTTACCGCACAGCTTCTTACCATTAGGCCACCAGAGCTTGCTTAACACACTAAGTTTCTGCTTTCCTGCTCCATATGAACTCGTGTTTTATACAACAGCCCAGTTCTGGGGCCCAGAATAGAACCTCACACATTAGGGGCACCCAATAGATGCCCGGAAGAGTTAAGTAAAATGAGCACTGATAAAACCACAGGGAGCTTAGATGCGAAAGAACCCTGATGTGAGCTGGAAAGCAGGACCTGTCTAAAATGACCCTGAGTCTTCACCTGCCCTGAAACACTAAATAAATCACAGTAAGAACTGCAGCTTCGCTGTAACGCCCCCACTCAGCAGAGACCAGCTCCCTCACCCACCTTAAGAGACTCGTAATGGTCCTGTCTGATGTCTTCATACTCCTCCATGATCTCCTCGAAGTAGTCATCCTTCAGATTTTCATCAAGCAGTTGAGAACACTGAAAATGCAAGATACAGGTCAACAACCAGCGAGCAGGAATGTGGACGGCCGTGGTCAGTGCTCATCTTTCACCATCTTTGCCAAATACTGCCAGGGTGGGGCCCCTTTCCACGCGTCAAGGCCTCTGCCGCTCCCACCAGTGCACATGCCAGTGCTTCTCCCAATGCATCTAGGGATCTACTTCCCCAGACAAGAGGACCTGGAAAATGAGCCCCCCTCACTTGCTGGGGCCTCCCTCAGCTCTGCACGTCGCCAGGGCATCCTCTCCACACACCTGCTGAAAGAACCAGGTGTGTCTTTACAGTCAACAGGCTCTGCTCTTGTTCATGCCGTTGAGTCAAATACACTCATAGCGACTCAATGAACAACAGCTGTGAACACTGCCTCTTCCTCATGAGCCACGCCATGTTCACACTTGTTATGGTCACTGGGGACAGCAAAGCAGAAGAGGACAAGAAAGGACAGCCACTCCTGAGTGTCCCATAGCGTAAGCAGCCAGTGTTTTCAACCAGGGCCACGTTCTATCAGCCTACAAATTCTGAGCCATCAAGCCCAGATGGCCTTAATATCCAGAGGAATTGCAGTGGTTCAAATTCACCAGCTGCTCTGCAGAAGAAAGTTGGACAGTCTCCTCTTGTGTAATTTACTGCCTCTGCCAAGCTGCTGGAGGGTCAGCTAGAAGTTGGTTGTGACTCATCAACAAACTACCATCAGTGGACCAGAGAGATTGCTCCAGGCAGCTTCCACCTGCCCACACCCACAGAACAGCCTACTTCTAGAGGGAGTTACTACCTCGACTCGGTCAGACCTGCTAGCTGAACAAATCCAAGATCAGAAAGTGGCTAACACACTCACGTCGCATTGGAAATCCATCACTGAGTTCACGTCAATGAAAACCACTGAGCTACAGGACGGCTCTTAGAGTCTTTCCTTTCTTCATGCATTTTTCATGACATCTTTATGTACCATCAGAGTAGAGCAGCCAGAGACAGGACATAAGTCTATAGATGTTTTATCATTTATAATAACCAAATGTTGGCATTGTTTCCCCACAGCACTGAAAAGGAAGACCAGGGAAGGCCATCCTCAGGTTTCAAGCTCCAGTCAGTAAGCAGCTGCTGCACCTGAGATCTTTTCAAATACATCAGGCCTGCTCAATGCAGCTAGATCAAAACCCACTGGGAGTCACTTGGGAAAGTGGGCAGCCTCTATCCATGGAGGAGCTAGTACAATGGCTGCCAGCTTCAAGTCGGAAGGTCCAGGGCTCAGCCACGGGTGCAGCTTGGCCTCTACGCCTGACAGTGTGAAAACTTGCTCTTCAGAAGGGAATCAAGGAGCAGGCCCCTTCCCAGGTAGGAGTGTTTCCCACCTGAAGGGAAGGCGTGACCACCAGCTGTTCAGGAAGGCCCACTAGCCTCCTCTACATATGGGAAACTGCTCAGGGCCATTCGTTGGCATGTGAAAACAGCAACAAGCCTTTAGAAAGTGGCCCCCTGGTTAGTGAATCACCTCCCTCCTCTAACCTCCCAAGAGGCACAATCCCAAATTAAGTTCTCAAACACTGTTTTACAACAGAGTCGTAGAAATGGAACTGATCTGCACATTGGCTCTTGTCAGTCGCTAATACAAAACTGCAGTTTATGATTGCAAGCTGATTTAATTTAATCCATTTTAATAAAGGGGAAATGTTGACTGTGAATGAGTCATCGTGTGCTGGTGCAGCAAGACTCCCTGCACTCCAGTGTCTGTCCGCCTGTCACAAGAGAGCTACCAGCCTTGACTGGCATCCCTTTTGTTTCTGAACTAGCTGTGAGGGAAGTTCCATGTCACCAGGTTATTCTGAAGATGAAATACAACAGTCCACGGAAGGCATTTAGCACAGTGCTTTGCACACGGCAAATGGTCTGCAAGGGACAGGCTTTTGTGTAACAGAAATGAGATCACAAGCTGAAAGAACTCCCTGTGCAAAGGCCCAGCATCACAGGCGCTTCACAGGGGACCCGTGAGGACACGCCAGGCTGTGTACTCACCACCACCACACTCTTGGACGCATCCAGCACATGGATCACCGGGGCGCTGTATCGTGGGGCTATTTTGACAGCTGTGTGGGTTCTGGGAAGAGGGATGAGGAAAGAAAACACATCAGCAGCAGGAATAGTGCCCATAACCCCAGCTCAGAACTGTCAGAGAGAATAGGTTTCCATGGAATTTTCCAGAGAAAGAATTCAAGGTACTTAGAAACAGCAAGCTTCAGATCCCTCTGTGAGACAAAAACTTGCTCCTCACGCTTTTCAAAGATGGAGAAACCACAGAGAAAAGACAGGAAGTGGCTGGCCCCAGCTGTTGTTGTTGTTGTTGTTATGTGCAAAATGAGAAGGCCCGTCCTCAGCTCCAGACCATGCGGGATCGAGCCTGTGACCTCATGCTCATTAGTAGTCCGTCTGAATATAAGCAGGTAACCCACCTGGACACACCTACACTTCTGGGTCCCATGGTCACCTTGGGCTTTTTAATCTGGAACCCCTACCCAAAAGCTTCCACACAGAAACAACAGAGAGGTAAAAGCCATACAAATATTTCTTTCCTAAGGCTGGCTCAACCCCAAACTCTGACTGCCAAACTTGAAAATGCCAGGAGCAAGGCAGAAGCACTCTTTAGCCCTTAAAATTTTTTCATTAACTAAAGTGCATTTTATAGCCATAGCGTAGGCTACAGCTCTGCTACTTCATCGGTGAACGTACAGGAATGAAGGTGGGAGTTTACAATGCCTTTCCTTCAGTAGTTAAGGCAGAGCTGAAGCTGCAGCTCCTGCTGGACACTTCGCTCCAATTCCTTTCTCCTCCTCTTTCTTCCCTTGATGACTTCTCCAAGTCAGGTTTTCTCCCACCTGCTCCCCTAAATTAAAACGTACTTGTGCCCAGAAAGATTTCCAGAATTTACTATTATATGAGAGGGAAAAACTAAGTCACAGAATGGTATGTTTAACAGAATATCTAAAAAACCATTTCTAAAAAGCAAATACCACCATCCTCCTCAAAAGGCCCCAGCTAACCCACTTCACACGAGCTTCTGTACAGTTACAAAAAACACACAGAGTCACAAAGATGAAGTGTCAGCCCTAGTTACTGGGGTTAGAACTGAGATTGAGGGTAGACAGGAAGAAACTAACTTCTAATATATATAGTTCTCTGAATGAGCAGTTAGCCATGCTCCACTAAGTACATATGACTGACCTAATTTTTAAAATACCAATAGAATATTTAAAATAAGTGACAAACTCACTGCTGTCAAGCTGATTCCAGCTGATGTCAGCTCATCAATTTCCAAGGCTGTGAATCTTCAAGGACAGAGACTGCCTCATCTTCCCCCTCAGAACAGCTGGTGAATTCGAACTGCCAACCTTTTCATTAGCAGCCCAAAATATAACTCACCAGGGCACCTTACAATATTACTGCATTAATGTCCTACAATACCTTTCAAATTAAAGGTGTAAAATACTCATGAGTTTGTTTTTAACAGGCTCCGCAAAGAAGGCTTTAAGAACTTATTAATAATAATCTAGAGAAGACCATTATCACTTAAGCCTGTTATCTTCTTCTCAGAGCACTTCTTGCATTAACAGGAAATGGAGCTTTAAAGCGAGAGAGACATCTTCTAGGGGAGGGAAGAGGACAGGGCCACAAGGGGGAATCAGATCCCAGCCTGGAGCAGCCGAATGAGGCCTCGCCTTGTGCTGACTGCTGTGCATGGCACCAGAGTTCTGAAGAGCAGCTATGTTCTGAGAGGAAAGAACTTGCAGACAGCAGAAAAAGTGACTTTAAAAAGCAGCAGCAGCAGCTATTCTCAAGTTACAAAACAAAATATAAACTACATTTAGTTGGGTTTCTCAACTTAGATGTTAAACTGTACAAATATGCCAATTATATTTTGCATGAAATTAAGAAACAGTGATTAATCAACAAAATGAAAGAAGAAACATTGATGCCTTTGAGGTCTGGTGTAGGAGAAGAATAATGAATATCTCATGGATGGCCAAAAAAATGAACAGATCTGTCGTGGAGAAGGTGCAGCCAGAGTGCTCCCTGGAGGCAAGGAGAGTGAAGCTTCCTCTCACATACACTGGGCATGTTGGTAGGAGAGGGACATCATGCTGGGGAAGTGAAAGGGTCAGTGAAGGAGAGGAAGACCTTCAATAAGATGGGCTGACACAGTAACTGCAGCAACGGACTCAAGTGTGTCCAGGACGATGAGGATGGCACAGGTCAGGGTTCAGATCTGTCATTCACAGGGTCACTATGAGTCACACTCAACTCAATGGCAACCAACAACAACTCAAGAAAACATTGTTTTAAGCTGAAGGTGGCTGAGTTAATGTTCTCTGAAAGAAAACTAGTACCTAAAATTAATAGTGATGAGTGACAGAAGTCCATTATTAATAGAAATAGCTAACAAAAATGATTTATACACAGAATCAATCTGGGAGGGTTAACAGGGATGTGAAGTGTTGGGAGAAGGGAAAAAAATAAAAGAAAGTTTCTGCAAAGCACCTTTTAAAAAGCACAGTATCATTTAAAATTTAAACTTGACCTAAGGTGTAAGGTTTTCAGTATAATTTAGCCAATATCTCTTCTGTCTTCTGGACAAGGCATGGAGGAGGAAAAGTAAGAGATTACACTATTACAAAAGAAATCAGCGCCAGGGGCTGCTCTCGCACACCCACATAGGCAGCTGAGCAACACGCAGGAAGCCTGCTGATCCTGAGGGACACAGGTCCTCCAGTGAACACCTCCCAGCAAAGCTGACTCGTCTTGGGGCATAGGGCAGAAGAGAGGGGCTGCAGAGAAAAAGACTGCTAACTCAAACATCATAAAAATTAGGAACTCCTGTTATCCAAAGACACGAGACAGACTGTAAAAACGTAGACCGTATTAGAACAATCTACTTGCAACATAGATTTCTAATAAAGGACTCGCATCCAATAGAGCTCTGGTGCCCTAATGCATAGGAAGTTGCTCTGCCAATCCAAAGGCACCAAGTTCAAATTTGCCAGCTATTCTGTGGGAAGAATATGGGAGCTCCCCTTTTATATAATTTACAGCCTCTTAAAACCTGCTGAAGAGTCAGCTATGAACAGATTCTGACTCGATGGCACACAGTAACACCAACATCCAATATGGATAAAGTGTATAAATTAATAAGAAAAAAAGCAAACTACCTTGCCACTCCCCTTAAAACACACACACACACAACGAACTTTAAAAGCATATCAAAATAGCCAACATACATACAAAAAGGTAGTCAAATTCATATGAAAAAAATACGGATGTGTGAGTTGAAAGACTCACTCTGGACAATGCCCTACCCATACCTACTGAAGAGGATCACATGCATTTCCTGTTGTTAGTGTTACGTGCCCTTGAGTCGACTGTGATTCAGAGTGACCCTGTGAAGAACAGCTCTGAACCTTGTCCTATCCTGGCCAACCTCATCACCTCTGACACATCTGCCTCCACCACCACAGCCACTTTGTTAATCCATCTCATTCAGAGTCTTCCCCTCCTGTGCTGACCCCTTCCAAGCATGATGCTAGAGGTCCTTCTTCAAGGACTGGTCTCTCCTGAAAACATGTCCAAGGTATGTGAGATGGAATTTGAAGATCCTTGCTTTCAAGAAGCAACCCTCTGTAGGCAGATCTGTTTGTTCTCTTGGCACTCCACGGTATTTCAATATTCTTCTCCAACACAACTCACTAGAGACATCGATGCTTCTTCTTTCATCCTTAGTCAATGTCCAGCTCTCACATGCACAGCACGCAAATGAGAAGACCATGGCTTGAATCAGGCACACTTAAGTCTCTAGAATGAGAAAGCAGATTTTCCCAATCCAACTTGTTTTTTGATTTCCTAACGGCTGGTGCTAAGAGTGCTGATTATAGATCTCATGAACTCATTAACAACTCCAGTCTCTTCTCCATCTATCATGAGCTCTGGTAGCCTACTGATAAGAAACTGTGCTGAAATCCCAAAGGCATGTGGTTCAAATTCACCAGTTGCTCTGAGAGAGCAGGATGAGCAACAAATGCTTCTGGTCCTCCTCAGTTTTGGTGAGCCAGGTTATGTCATCTACATAATGCATACTGTTGATGAGTCTCCCTCCAATCCTGATGCCACATTCTTCTTCACATAAACAAAGAGTCCTCTTTAATATCTCTTATTGGGTAAAAACTATAACAGTTTGTAAAAATTGTACCTGTTTGGTAAAGTTCCATTATACACAAGTAAAATACATGATTTGCTGATTGTGAACATTTGAGAGTGGAGTCCTACCGTGTACATAGAATTGAAAAGCATCTGCACACTTAGCTATTTCCTCACTCTATGACTCTGTGACTTTCATTAAATACCCCAAGAACATGTTCATGAATACCTCCCTTAAAAGGGTTGGCCATATGTCTTGAGAACTATTTTGTTTTGCCACATATCTTAGTGAATAAGTCTTCACTGGAGAAAAAAAATAAAATCATCTCCATTTTCTAACATGAGGAACATCATGAACCTTTCATTTATGAAGAGTAGTTAGCAGATAAATGATAAATAAATCATTTATCTGATTTATCAGTTAACAGATAAATCACCTGTTGAGGTTGATTCAGGTCATGGTCTTTTAAGTCACTTGCTTTGCGTGAGAGCTGGGCAATGAATAAGGACAAGAAAAGATGTTGCCTTTGAGCTGTGGTGTTGGAGAGCAGTGCTGAACATCCTATGGAGGGCCAAAAGAACAAAAAGGTATATCTTGGAGCAAGTTCAGCCAGAGTGCTCCTTAGAAGTAAGGATGACAAAATTTTGTTTCAAATACTTTGAATATGAAGCTATTCCTTAGAGAAGGGCATCATGCTTGGAAAGGTGGAGCATTGGCAAAAGAGAGGGAGGACCATCAACAAGATGGACTGGCACAGTGACTGCAGCAATGGGCTCGAGTGTTTGAGAAATGATGAGAATGCCACATGATAGGACAGGGTGACCGGATCTGTTGTTCACACGGTTGCTCAACTTAAAGGCACCTAACAGAAACAACAACAACATCACTGAGGCTACTCCTGAAGGGGACCCTTTTAGGCTATTAAGGCTTAATATTTACAATGAGTTGTTTGTGGTGTTATCAAATATACAAGGTGAAACAATAAATTCAAGGAGGCAAGGAATCTGAGGCTTCATCTGACACACTTTGGGCATGTTGCAAGGAGGGACTGGTCCTTGGAGAGGGACATTATGCCTTGGAAGGGTGGAAGGACAGATAAAGAGAGGGAGATCATCAGTGAGATGGATTCAATGACTAGGGTAATGAGGGTAGGTGAGTCAGAGACAATAGAGTTGGCACAGGATACAGCAGGCATCAGGGCTGTTGTACATAAGGTTGCTAAGAGTCACAAGTGACTCGACAGCACATAACAAAAACCTTTGACAAGATTGATGTTATACTTTTGTATCAGAAAGACAAACAACAAGTGTGTGGCACTATCTAGCCAGATGCACTGGGCTGATGTTTTCTTCCACCAATGTGAACCAAGTGTAGCCCAAAAGGATGAGTCACAAGCAAAAGAGCAATGAGATAGTATCTCACCCCAGCAACAAGAGCAAAGTCCAGTGAGCCAGAAAATAGATGCTGCTGAGGGCCTGGTAAGACTAGATCTCCCAAAAAGTGCTAAGATGTACAATCAATGTGAAACGGGGGTTTCACTCTTCCTTCAGAAACTGGAAATACAAATTAATCCACAAGTCCACCAAGGATACATCTTAAAGAAATAAGAGCTTAGAATCCAACAATACATGAAAAAAAAAAATAATTCACCATGACCAAGTGGGATTCATAACAGGCATGCAAGAATGGTTCAACATAAGAAAAACAATCAATGTAATTCATCGCATTAACAAAGCAAAGAACAAGAGCCACATGATCCTATCAACTGATGAAGAAAAGGCCTTTGACAAAACCCAACACCCTTTCCTGATTAAAACACTCAACAAAATAGGATTAGAGGGAAATTTCGTCAATATAGTAAAAAGTATATATGCAAACAGGAGATCCAATACTGTTCTCAATAGAGAGAGATTAAAGGCATTCCCCTTGCAAACAAGAACTAGGCAAGGATGCCCACTATCACCTCTCCTGTTCACTATTGTATTGGAAGTCTTAGCGATAATAAGGCAAGAGAAAGAAATAAGATGTATCCAAACTGGCAGAGGAGGTAAAATTATCTCTCTATGCAGATGATATGACAGTTTACTTAGAAAACCCTAAAGATTCAGCAACAAAACTACTGGACATAGCTGACCAACTCAGCAAAGTGGCAGGATACAAGATCAACATACAAAAATCAATTGGATTTCTCTACAGTGATAAAAAGAATACAGAACTGAAACTAAGAAAAACAATACCCCTCACAATAGCTAATCACAAGATTAAATACTTAAGAGTAAATCTAACCAGAAGCACAAAGGATCTATTCAAAGAAAATTACAAAACATTACTACAAGAAACAAAAAGAGACCTGGAGAAGTGGAAGAATATCACTTGCTCATGGATAGGAAGACTCAATATTGTGAAAATGACAGTAATACCAAAGGCAATTTACATGTTGAATGAAATCCCAATACAAACATCAATTCCATTCTTCAACGAGATGAAAAAGGCAATCTCTAATTTCATTTGGAATGGAAAGAGGTTCCGAATAAGCAAAGCACTCCTTAAAAACAGACACAAGGTAGGAGGCATCTTACTCTCTAATTGCCATGGTGGTCAAGAGAGGATGGTACTGGTACAATGACAGACACAAAGATCAATGGAATAGAATTGAGAATCCAGAAATCAGCTCATCTACCTATGGCCAACTGATTTTTGACAAGGAGATGAAATAGGTAGTGAAAGGACAGCCTTTTTAACAAATGGTGCTGGCAAAATTGGAAAAATATCTGCAGAAAACTCCCACAGGATCCACATCCACCTCACTCCATATACAAAAAAGAACTCAAAGCAGATCATGGACCTAGGACTAAAACTAAGGACTATAAACTTCATTAAAGAAAAGCTTGGAAGAACTCTAGAAGTCCTAATCCACAATGTAAATAGTCTTCCAAGCATCCTAGAAAATCTACAACCAGGAGAGGATAAAACAGATGAATGGGATCTTCTAAGAATCAAATACCTATGCATATCCAAAAACTTCTCCAATAGCCACAGATTGGAAAAAATATTCGGTAATGACAGGTGAGACAAGGGGCTTATATCTAGAATTTATAAAATACTTCAGCACCAAAACAGAATAAAGGTAAATAACCCAACTGAAAAATGGGCACAGGATATGAACAGACACTTCACCAAAGAAGACATTCAGATGGCCAACAAGAACATGAAGAAATGTTCAAAATCCATATGCAAATAAAAACAACTATATCATCTCACCCTAGTAAGAATAGCAAAATTTAACAAAATAGCAAACATCAAACGCTGGTGAGGTTGCAGTAAAACTGGAACCCTTATTTACTGTTGGTGGGAGTGTAAAATGGTGCAACCACTATGGAAAGCTGTATGGCACTTTCTCAGAAAGTTGCAAATAGAAATACCTTTTGACCCTGCAATTTCACTACTTGGAATATACCCTAAAGAAACATAACTGCTACCCAAGTAGATATATACACACCCATGTTTATTGTGGTTTTGTTTACAATAGCAAAGAGTTGGAAATAACCCAAGTGCCCATCAATAAACGAATAGATAGAGAAGCTGTGGTATATTCACACAATGGAATACTATGCTGCACTGAAAAACAAGTAACCCATGAAATATTATGCAAAATGGGTGACCCTGTCACAAAAGGACAAATATTGCATAGGGCCACTGCTGTAAAACAGGACTGACATCCGGGTTGAGGGAAGACAGAGAAGGTGGGGAGGAATGATGTATACTGCATTGAAACAGATGAGAGAGAGAACTGCTTGAAAGGGATAAGTGATAAGGTATTACTGTCATGACAGGAGTCCAGAATGAAGGCTGCACAGAGAAGTGGACTTTTACTTTTCAAAGAGAAGAGCGAGTTAGGGGGTGTGAGGGTGGACAGGGAGAAAAGTGAAATAATGAATGAATAGAAACCCTAAGCCTCTGGAAACTTTCATTAAAATAAAAAAAAAAAAAAAAAGAAGTAGTAAGAGCCAGGACATGAACAGATGTGTGCACACCCATGTTTAGTGCAACATTATTTATTAACTGCAAAGAGATGAAACAGCCCGAGTGTCCATTCTTGGGTAAATGGGTATACAAACTATGGTGCATACACACAGTGGAATACTATATCACATTAAGAAATAACAGATATACACAACTCTCAAAAAGAACAATGAAGAAGTACTGTTAACACCACACAATATGGGTAAATCTGTGATAGTATGCTCAGTGAAATATGACAATGATAAAAGGAAAAATATTGTACAAGTTCACTGTGATAAAAAGCTAACACATCACTGCTTAATGATCCTGAGACCACCACACAACCTCACACTATTTACACTGAAAGATCCCCTTTCAAAATCACTTCCCTAGTGGAGACTTGAATCCATTCTGGCGGGACAGTCTTTCTGTTTCTTACTATCACAGGGTCTCTATTTCACAGAGGGCGCGTTTATTCAATCTGACACCTGCATCAAGTAAAGACTAGAGAGTATGTGGCTTATATATTAATGAGTCAATGAAGTGGAAAAAGAAGAGTATCCTTTTTATCAGTGTTTTTAAGAGAATTTAAACCAAAGCATGGATTTCCCTACCAGGACTTACCTCGATGTGGTTGCTCCTCCAATCAACAGGGGGATCTTTATAGCTAATCTCTCCATTTCCTTAGCAACAAAAATCATTTCATCCAGGGAAGGAGTGATAAGTCCTGACAGGCCAATTATATCTATTATTCAGAAGAAAGGGGGGGAAAAATAGACAGTGAGAAGAAATATGAGAGAAACAAAAACAAAATAAAGTTACGTAATCAAAACCACAGGACCAAACACAAATTTCCAATTTCTAATTCTAAGACAGTATTTCTAACTGAAAGGTTTTGTTTTAGTAATAAATATGACTTGTAATTTTAAATTTAAGTAATACATGCCAGTATGATTTTTAACTTTAAATTACAGTAACACATTTGCCAAACTTTCTGTAAGTCATCTAACAGAATGTATCCTTAGTTGGTCATTCGCCAACTCAAACATGAGTAAACATGAGAAACATGAGAAAAACCACACCAAAGAAACATGAGAAAAGCCACACCTGGCAAACAATCACACTCAACACTGTCCTCACGTGAAAACATGTCCCGCTCCTGTCTTCAGAACTATCAAGGACTTCCATGTGCCCGTGCTCACATCTCCTCATAAACGACATTAAGCACAGTCCCCATGCGGGACATGGCCCAATGCACCCAGGGACTGAGGTGTTTCACTTCCCAGCTGACACTTGAGGACAGACAATGCACAGTACCTGCTTTGTGGTCGAGGGCAGCCTGCAGTATCCTGTCACACGGGGTCATGACTCCTAAATCTATGACTCTGAAGAACAGAAATGAGACATGGGACAATTAACAAGGACTCTCAAGAGAAAACTGTAGCAAGATTTTAATTTCAACCAATAAGCACTGCTCTAACGTGGCATTAGGGCTATTACAGCTAATGTCAGAGGGATCTTGGCTGAGAGCAGAGAGTACCAGAGGAATGTCTATCTGTGCTTCATTGACTATGCAAAGACATTTGACTGTGTGGATAACAACAAACAGTGGTTGACTCTGAGAAGAATGGGAATCCCAGAATACTTGATTGTGTTTATGCAAAATTATACTTGGACCAGGAGGCAGTCATCAGACAGAGCAAGGAAACACTGCATGGTTCAAAATTGGGAAGGGTGTGCATCAAAGATGTGTCCTATCTCCGTATCGTTTCAATCTATATGCAGAACAGATTATCCAGGAGGCTGGGCTCTATGAGGAGAAGTATGACATCAGGATTGGAGGTAGACTTATCAACAATCTGCGTTATGCAGATGACACAAACCTACTTGCTGAAACTGAGGAGGACCTGAAGCATTTGCTGCAGAAGGTCAAGGACTGCAGCCTTCAATACAGATTGAAGCTCAACATCAATAAAACAAAGATTCTCACCACTGGGCCCATTGGCAGCATCATGATAGATACTGAAGAGATTGAGATTGTTGACAGCTTTAGTTTGCTTGGCTCTATTGTCAACACTCTTGGTACCAGCAAGACGAACTGCATTGGGAAAGTCTGCGGTCAAGAGACTAAGGTGCACCTGACACAGGCATGGTCTTTGCCATTACTTGCTATGTTCAGAGAGCTGGACAATGACTAGGGATGATAGAAGGATGCCTTTGAGCTGTGGTGCTGGAGAAGAGTACTGAATATCTTATGGACTGCTAGAACAAACAAGTTCGTCTTGGAGAGGGTGAAGCCAGGCTGCTCCTTGGAGTCAAGGATTCTGAAGCTTGATCTGACATACTCTGGACATGTTGCAAGAAGGCACTGGTCCTTGGAGAGGGACATCATGCTTGGGAGAGTGGAGGGATGGTGCAGGAGAGGAAGACTCTCAGTGAGATAGATTGATTCCATCACTGGGGTATTGGGGACAGGCATGTGGGAGACAATAAGATAGGCAAGGGATAGAGCAGGGTTTAGGGCTGTTGTACATAGGGTCGTTATGAGTCGCAAGTAACTCGATGGCACATAACAACAACAACATAAACTGGAACCACACTGAAATGCTTAAAACAGCCATGCATCAGGCCCTCACCACAGGCCAACACTTGTCTACTAACTACAATCTCTGTTATCTCGGGAGAAGTGCCCTGGTGCAGTGCTGCAGTGTCCCCCTACAGTGATAAAAGGTCCCCTGCAGTGATAAGGGCCCCCCTACAGTGATGAAGGACCCCCTATAGTGATGAAGGGCTCCCCATATTGATGAAGAGCTCCCTACAGTGATGAAGGACCCTTACAGTGACAACGGGCCCCCTACAGTAATAAAGGACCCCCTACAGTGAAGAGCCCCCTACAGTGAAGTCCCCCCTGCAGTGATGAAGGTCCCTCTTTAGTGATAAAGGGCTCCTTCCAGTGATAACAGACCCCCTAAAGTGATGAAAAACTCCGTGCAGAGATGCAGGACCTGAGGAATCTGCCGAGTTGAAGTGTTTATTGGTATACTGCCTAGTCACACAGCTCATCAATGGCAGAACTGGACTTTAAGCTCGTATTTGATACCTCTGTCCATACTCTTAGCCACTAGACAATAATAGTGGAAGTGCTTTGCCTAATGAATCTCTACTGAACAATGTACTACCTGGAAACCATAGAAACGAACAAGAAAAGGTCAGTTCTTGCACACAAATAGCCAATGACCAAGAAGTCTGGTCAGCAAGAGGGTGAGCCCAGTGGTGAGTTAGGAGGACAATTAGGACAGTGTACCCAGGATAGGGATAAAATGGAACTCCCTCCCAACTTTTGAGCCAACTGTAAGAAGTCTTGGTGGGGAAATGGCCAAAAGTATTACTGCTCTGAAAACATTTCCCAGCTTTATCCATATAGAGAAATTAATAGCACAAGGTTATGTAAGGAGCTATGGTGGCTTAGCGGTAACCCAAAGGGTCAAGGTTCAAATCCACCAGCTGTTCTGTGGAAGAAAAAGGGGCACCTTCTTCTCACACCTCTGGAAAATCCTCTGGAGGTTCAGCTATGAGTCAGTTAAATGCACTGAGTTTGAATTTGATCCTTTACTCTTGAGCAAATCTGGATTAATTATGTATACTGCACTGAAGCCAATGAGGGAGAGAACGGCTTAAAGTTAATATATTTTAGGGCATTATGATTATCATAAGAGTTCAGAATGAGGGTTGCAGAGT